ATGTTTCTATCTCTCTCCCTTTCCCTTCCTCTCTGAAATCAATAAAAATATATATATTTAAAAAAGATTTGGTTAAATGAATGAAGTAACTGAGAAACGATAACTAAGCAAAAAAAATGAATTAAGGCAGAAGTCAGCTGACTTGTGGCACAGGTGTGGAGTAGAAGAAGATTCATAGAAAAGCTTCAAGAAATCTTTATACCTTTTGAGTGAAACGTAAATAACTTTATTTGTGTGTATGCATATTGTGGCAGACACTCCTCCTCTGCTGACAGAAACTGGTTTTGTTCTGGGCTTGTTCCTTGACTGTAGAAAAACTAGATTCCTACCCCAGCCCCAGAATATCATGATTGACCCAAATCAGTCAAAGGAATTCAAGTTCATCCTAGTCCACAAATGATCATGTGGTAGACCCAGAGTATGGCCCAGAATGATCAGGAATGACCCAGTTCTGGATAAGGAGGGGAAGTGAAGAGAACAGACCTCTTAACATAAAAGACAGGGGACACTCTTTTGCTCCCCTCCTTCTTCCATTGAACACACATGTATGAAGACAAAATGCTTGGAACTCTGAAAGTCATTAGACATCCAACAGGTTGAGGATGACAAAGCAGAAAGGGAAAGAGCCTAGCTTCTCGATGAAAACTGAAAATTGTTTTCCTCTAGAACTTTTCGTATGAGATTGCATTTCTTTACTACTTAAGCCATTATTACATAGATAGTTTGTTTCTTGCAGGGAAAATAACTGTTGATAGATTTTCTTGGAAACATACTTTAATAGCATCTATAAGAGACTGTGATGCATAAACCAAAAAATGCAATTCCTAGAAGTAAAAAAAAAGTTCTAATTTACCTTGACAGAAGAGTAACATTCTTGATAGATGCTAATGCATACAGCAGCTTTTCTTTTTCTTGAGCTAATGGAGTTTTTTGATATTGATCAAGAGTGTAGTTCCATGAAGCCTCATTGCCAGAGTTCTGCATCCCATAACGATATACCAGAAGCCTGAGATTTACAGGAATCCTAGAAGAATAAACAGTGTTTCAGAGATTCCCAGTTTTCGTTTTGCAGTTTAAAGTCTTCTGGAAATGAACACATGGTGAATAGTCACCTCACAGTCCCAGTGAGCCACTGCTGAAATAACTGGGAAGCGTTGCCCAAGGCTTCTTGGTCTCCCACCTTGCATGCGAGCCCTAACACGGAGGCGCGGAGTAACCTTAGAAAACAAAGACACACAAAGCTGGGCCTTGAGTACTTTTCAACACATTTTAAAACATGCAAACAGATATTGAATGGATATTAGTTTAAAAAATGTAAAAGAAATAACTTTGTGAGGTGGTCTCCAGTGTCATCCCATGTCAGAGCATCTGCAACCGGCTTCACCTGACCTCGGAAGTATTCCTGAAATAAAAGCACCACGTACCATGAGTAACAATTCATTATTTATCAACAGTCCTTCAACTATTATAATGTACAGCCACCCTCCCGCCACCACCATTATAACCTTTTTTCCTACTAGTTCAGAGAACTTTGGGCCTGTCATTAGGAAGGGATGCATTCAGTTCTTTATCACATTGCAATATTGCTTCAAGGTAAGGACATCCTGAACATTCTCTTGTGTTTTATCCAACTGTGGGTTAGCGTCTCTTAGCTTCCACTTCTTGTGAAATAGAATAACACTTGACATACTTGCTCAAGTACTGATGAAATAATAATATTATTTCAATATTTGTACATTGCCTTTGGATTTACAAAGGAAATTTATATTACATAATCTTTATCCCTTTACCATAGGCAGCCAAGTGCTAAGATTCTTATTGTACAAAGGAAATTAAGACTCACAAATATAAATCATTTGTCCAAGTTCTTTCATTTACTAAGTGGAAGAGCCAGAGATTCGAATCCAGAATTTGTTTAAAATTACAAGTGTCTTGCCAAAGTGCTACAGAAATTACAAAGCAAAGTATTTGTAATGACTATCTCATAATAAAATCTCAATGTGGAAATAACAGCAGAAATATCTATATATATAAAAAGCCAGTGACTGGAATGCCATAACGACCTGAATGACTGGTTGCTCTGACGCCCACTGTGGCCAGCAAACTGGCCCAATTGGGGGGGTGGAGCCAGCAGGCCAACCTCCCATGGCCCCTCCCCCCACAGCCCCGCCCCACACCAATAGGGGGTGGGGCCAGCCAGCCAACCTCCTGCAGCCCCTCCCTCCACCTGACCCCACCACCCATGGCCCCTCCCCCAGGCTTCTGGACCCTGCTCTCACCCCCCGCCCCATTCAAGGATGGGGGCGCTTGTCCACCGTCCACAGCCCCTCCTCACGGTGGGCCCCACCCTCAATCAGCCCCCACCACCTCGATTGGACTGCGGCCCCTCCCAAACCAGCTCTGTCCATGATCACCTCTATCCCCCATATCAATCAAGGGTGGAGCTGGCCAGCCAACCTCCCATGGCCCCTCCCCTGGATGCTGACTCCCAATCGGTCCCCGCCACCCCATTCAGGGGCAGGGCCTGCCATCCAATCGCCTGTGGCCCCACTCCCCAGCTGGCCTGGCCCTGATCGGGCCTGATTGGGGCAGGCCCACCCGTGCACAAATTCGTGCACTGGGCCTCTAGTAATGTTATATTTTGGGACGAATGAATTCATTTTGACCTAGATGAATACAGTAAAAATAGGCTCTAGTTAGTATCTATGGTTTAAAGTGTTGCCTATTTTAAATGAAGTATTAATTATTGGATTCCTTAGAACACTAAAATATACATTTAAGGGGTATATTGAACCAGAAATATTGATACATTTCAAGCTGAAAAAATAAATAGCATATCTTTGCTTTGACTAGTCAAGTCATTGTACTTTCCTTTGATTTCACTTGGAAAGGAAGATATGTTCTTGTCTCCCAGGAGCTTCTTCCCTCAGAAATTTTCCTATTCTGCTAATGACTAAACATTTACTTTCATAAGAAATGCCATTCACATCACCTCAATCACAGGGTATAGGTCTTTATCATCTTCAAACATGCTGATGATATAGGTTACAGCTGAAATAACTCTCTGCCATGGTAAAAAGTCCTTTTCCATTTTGAGATACTTGGTCAAGTTCAGAGCCACCTTATAATCTAGAAGTTGAGCTCTAAGGAAGGAAAAACAAAACAGTTAATTAAAAAGATAAATTAGTTTCCGTTTAACTCAAAGAACTAATATGGGGGCTATAGAATTCAATGTTAATGAGAATCCTTCTATTACATGATTAATAAAATGCATGTATGGTTGAAGCCTAATCAAAGAGATTTCCTCACAGTGATATATTTTCAAATGTCCAATAGTAAAGGGGAAGACAGAACATTAAGATACACATTTGAAAAATCCCTGTGGCAAAATTTCAGATGAAACAAAAGCCACTTAGCTATGTGGTTAATAAAAACTTTTAAATTTTAGTTTCATAAGCTAATTATAATAGCCAAATACACCATTATAAATGTATCTTATTGAAATGATTTGAATTTAAAATGAAGAGGAAACCTGAATAACAGTACTCACAAATCATGAATGCTTAAAACATTTCAAGTGCATTTATACTTCCCATAAGACATCTCCTTTTTTATACATTTACCAATAATAAGGCTAACTAAAAAGTGGATTTTGTTCCTCCAGGAAATTTGAAGTTACTTTTGACATTTCAAAGTTTAAAGAATCCAATATCTTCCTCCTTAAAAGAGATTCTAGAACCTTTTGAAATCATGTTCTTAGAAAACTGGCATGCTTCAATTTCTAGCCTAAATTTATGGGAATCTTGTTTTTCCAAGTTACATTTTGAAAGTTTAAATTAAAGAATACATTTTAAATTATTGAATTAGTAATACTGATGCACTGAGTGCTATTATGTTTGAGGTCATTTTGTGAATAAAGAATAATGTAATTATATCATGACTTCTTCCTAAGAGCTTGATTAGAGGATGAACTAGCATTGGACAGATAAGTGTTAAAATCTTTAGCATCATATGATTTTTACTAATGAGATATGATACAGAGTTTTCTTTTCAGTTCAGAAAGCTGATTTCTCATTTCCTGATTTGATTTAGAAGGGGTAATATTTTGGATCATTCAGCCTCCCTTAATAAAAGAATAAATAATATTGAGAAATGGAGTGTTTTATTGAGAATGTTTATTAAGTAAAAAATATAGAAGTTGTGCTAACATGTGAAACTTGATAATTTTCTAATTTTAATGATTTTCTATTTTCTTTGAGGATAAAGCAACAATTACATCTAATCAGTGTTTTCTTAGGATACTTTCGAAGAATAGTTGTTGCTCTAAGGATCAAATTAGCAAAGAGGTTAATGAAATTTTAGGAAGAATGGCAGATAACTTGGTCAGAAATCAAGTGGGCTGCACATTTCTGGCAGGTGAAAAGATTAGAAGGGTCTTGGTTACAAGGACCAGAAGAATTGGGTAATTGGATACCATAAATGGAAGGAGGGAATCTAATGATTCACAGATTAGAGGTCCTAAGTATTATGTATTCAAATGTTAAAAAAATCAATATATTGTCTTAGCATCTTATTTTTCCAGCACACTTGATAGCTTTGCAATAGTTCCACTTTGATATCACTCATTTTCTTTAAGTCTAAGTCATAAGGTCAGAACACTGGACTGGGAGTGAATTTTTGATGCTTGATATTATAGATGATAATATTTTGAGAATTAAAATAATGTACTCTGCAACTCTTATGCATGGAATCAATAGTATTTGATATGTCAGAGGAAAAACAATACCATTTAGAACCATGATTCTCAAATTTGAACATATATCAGCAACATTGGAAAGTTGGTTAAGTCACACACTCTCGGGCCCCATTCCCAGAATTTCTGATTCAGTGGGTCTTGAATAGGGCCTAAGTATTTGCATTGCTCACAAGTTGCTAGGCGATGCTGATATTGCTAGGATTACATGTGAAGAACTGTTTTTTTTTTTTACAACAAAGAAATCTATAATGCCCTACCCAGATCGCCTTACAATGTTGTGTTAGCTCACAGCTACCACCTTCTTTGGGCAATAGCCCTTGGCCAAATACATCTATCTTGCTTCTAAGAGGTTATGCAACCCTCACTCCTGACCATAAATCAATCATCTGATTCAGGAATGCCACTAGCCAGCCTGCGTCTCTCTAGTTGGTCCCACTCTGTGGTACAACTCAAAGCTTCCTAGTAGAATCTGGCAACGCTAGATTCCAAATGAGACCATACCTTTGCTCAGCTTTTCCTCCTTCCCCATCATGTTTCTTGCATTCTCTACCTCGAGCCAGCACTCTTCAATAACCACATGTAAAGAACCCTCATTTCGGACTCTGCACCTAGGGAACGCCACCTACGACAGCATTCTTACTCAACTTTGAGTCTCAAGTTCCATTTCTTTTTAAACCCATAGCAAACAGCAGTTCTGAAAGCCAGACTTGAGAATTTTCTTTGTTCTAAAATCTTCCATTGACATAGTGAGAACCCAGCCTGAAGGACTCAAATCAGAATTTTCCTATAATTCAGAGTGTAGAGAAGACGGAGGCTGTAACTTAAAGAAAGCTCCCACCGGACTCAGTGGAGAAGAGGACTAAGAGGTCCTCCTATCCCCGGCTGGGGCATGGAGGAAGTTTGAGGAATCTTACATCAAAGGTTTGTTTCTGCTTCCCTGGGTGTGACTTGAAAAGACTGCACCGTCCCCAACTCAGAGAAGCCCAGGTTTAGCATGGTGTCTTGGTAAACATGGCTCTTGACTGGGGCAGTAGAACAATTGAGAGAGGTGCCTCAGTGGATGGAACTGACCCACATTCATGAGCCTTCAGGTGGTGTGGAGAGTTTTGGAAAGTTCCCATGTATCTGGTCTCTCTTTTTTTATATATATAATATATTTTTGATTTCAGAGAGGAAGGGAGAGGAAGAGAGAGATAGAAACATCAATGATGAGAGGGAACCATTGATCGGCTGCCTCCTGCACGCCCCCCACTGGGGTCCACGCCTGCAACCTAGGCATGTACCCTTGACCGGAATCGAACCCGGGACCCTTCAGTCCGCAGGTGTATCTGGTCTTTTGACATTAACTTGCCAATTAAATTCAGATTTCTGGCTTAAACCAGTCTCTTTGCTATCAACTAGACCCCATTTTATCTCTCCTCATTTTCCTACTACCCTTTTCTTTAAAAAATAAAAAAGGCTGCTTGGCCGGTGTGGCACGGTGATTGAGCATCAGCGCATGAACCAGGAGGTTATGCTTTGATTCCCGGTCAGGGCACATGCCCAGGTTTCAGGCTCAATCCTCAGTAGGGAGCATGCAGGAGGCAGCGGATTGCTGTTTCTATCTCATCGATGTTTCTATCTCTCTCCCTTCCTCTCTGAAATCAATAAAAACATATTTAAAAATAAATAAATAAAATAAAATGGCAAAGCTGATCATCTTGACATGGTTGATGTTCACCTGGAGGTCTTTACTTGCTAACCTGGTCATCACCTTGCATATCATTGGAGCCACTGGTCCTTAAAACCTGGCTGGAATTCTGTCTCATCAGTGGCTTAGGTGGTCTGTTAAGCTGTCCTCTGTGCCACTCTTTCCTCACCCAGAAACTCCTGCTCCCACTCCTGGGTTTGTTAGCCAGCCTTGTGCTTTCCTTTATGTTAATCTTGACCCATCCCCTGGCTTTTGCACACAGTGGGCTGCAGAGCACAACGTAAGCTATTGAAAAGGATAAAACCTACTGCAACAGCTGTACAACAAAGGATTTTTTCTGTCTCAGTTTTGGCAAGGCCCCCAAACTAGGCCCTTTGGCCTATTCTCCAAAGTAAGATGCAGGTCCACCAAACTGGAGCTGACATGGTCAGGGGAACAGGTTTTGTGACCCTTTGCTAATAACACCACCATCCTAATGAAGAGGTTGGAGTGGCTAAGGGGGGAGAGTGACCTTGTAGAAGAGGGCTTTTGGGAGTGCTGTCAGTATACTATGAGGTTGTCCCTTCATATCAAGCCTAGGGAATGGGGCCTTTAATGGGAACACTGGAATAATTTAAAGGTGTATCCTAGAACTTGGAGGCATAGTGGTCTGGTGTCTTACACCCCGAGAAATCTATAGGACGAGAGGCCGTGTCTGGCTAGTGCTCTGATCTCAGAGTGAAGAGATGGGACTGCCTGGGTGGCCTGTCCTTTCAGACTTTGTCGGGGCACAGGGTGGATGAATACTTGCTATGGACCAGAGTGGGTCAGTGGTGTTCACCTGCCCCTCAAGGTAACTGCAGGAGAAACACCCTTGGCCATGGAATGGTGTGAGCACAGAAGGAGGAGAGTCCATGTTAAATGTCACCAGGTCTAGAGGAGCAAAAGCAAACTGCATGTTGGGAGTGTTCCTCCCTTCACCTGCTCTCACTGCCTCAACGCTGGAGGAACCAGAGGCAGCATAATGAGAAGTAGAAACTTCACACAGGAAAATGGAGAGGAAATCAAGCACATTGTTCCTGGGGGGCTGGAAATAACTTTAAATGACATTGAAAATGTTGATGGTTTCATTGGGCTGGGCATTTGATGAACTGAGACTGTTTGGGAGAGTCAAAGTGACTAGATGAATTTTTACTCCCTATCTTAACTAATGTGTCCAGCTAGATATTCTATCTAGGGCAGTAAGAGTACTGGCTCCTCAAATCTGGGGACAGGGGAATCAAGAATACATGTATTTTTAGATGCACCCTTTCAGTCCTGCTTATGAAACATGAGTTACATTTCTTTCTAAACACCTGAGAAGATCTGCATAAATTCTAGTCCCACCACAGGCACTTACCTGTCTAACTACACATTTCTCCTTTTTTTTCCTGCCCAACATTTCAAACTGGTCTGGACCCATCTCTAATAAAGCTGGTGCAGTCTGTCCCTCTCTGAGTCCTGTTTTGCAGAAGGAAATTGGACAATAGCTCAATAGCTAAGGTCATAACTCAGGTGTTTCCTGGACTGGTTATTGTGTGATTCTTGATATTTTTTGTTTCTTAAGTGTGTTTCACTTTCTTTCTTTCTGAAGCTCTTCAAAATGTTACGGGGCATGGCCAAGGAGCTGAGCAAATGTGAGAAAGTCTCTCACTTGTGCGAGTTATCGGCTTAACACATGGTTGAGAGAACTGCTCAAGAGGCTTTCGCTCCTTAAAGCACAAAGAACTGTGTGTTGTGTTGTGATGGGAATTAAGCTATAAAGATATTAAATCTCTGTGTACTTTTTAACAGCAAAGATGCTAAGCTTTGGAAACGATCATTTTGTATTCACAGGAGAGTTTTCCTGAAAAAAAAAATCTAAGTGGTTCTATTATGTCTTAAAATATTGATCTTCTTTCATCACTTAATTTCCCAGGTCTACTCAGTGCCTGGTACAGAGTAGGTGCTCAATAAATATTTATTAAATGAGTGACTGACAACAGTATGGAGTTTCCTCAAAAAGTTAAAAATGGAACTCCCATTTGACCCAGTGATCCCACTGCTAGAAATATATCCCAAGAAAACAGAAACACCAATCAGAAAGGATATATGCATCCCTATGTTCATAGCAGCACAATTCACCATAGCTAAGATCTGGAAACAGCCTAAGTGCCCATCAGCAGATGAATGGGTTAGAAAATGTGGTACATCTACACAAAGGAATACCATGCTGCTGTAAAAAAGAAGGAGTTCTTACCATTTGCAACAGCATGGATGGGACTGGAGAGCATTATGCTAAGTGAAATAAGCCAGTCAATGAAAGAAAAATACCACATGATCTCACTCATTTATGGATAATAAAGACCATTATAAACTGATGAGCAAAAATAGATACAGAGGCAGAAGAGCATCGAACAGACTGTCAAACTACAGCAGGAAGGCTGGGGAGGGCTGGGGGGCGGGAAGTGGGGGTAAGAGATCAACCGAAGGACTTGTATGCATGCATATAAGCATAACCAATGGACATAAGACACTGGGGGGTAGGGGAGCCCGGGGGAATGTCAAGGGGAGGAAAAAAAAGGAAACCTATGTAATACTCTTTGTAATACTTTAAGCAATAAAAAAATGAGTGACTGACAAACTGTAATATAATGAATATACAATATAGTCCCCCCTTTTCCATAGAGGATATATTCTGTATGTGTGTATGTGTATTTTCCTATATGTACATGCCTGTGATAAAGTTTAATTTATAAATTAGACACAGTCAGAGATGAACAACTACTAATAAAATAGAACAATTATAACAATATACTGTAATAAAAGTTATGGATCAGACTCCAGTTAATCACAAGTAACTGAAACTGTGAAAAGCAAAATCTCATCTCGAATAAGAGCCAACGACTGTAATTAATTTGTTATATGTTCAGGAGATTAAACTTGGAGATTCTCTAACAGGGATTATAATGTCTATTACCTACAAAGGGAATATACATTACAAATTCAGAAGAGCTTTTCTACATAAATGCTTCTTTGTTGCTACTGATCAATGGTGGATGTATTGAGCACTCTCACAGGCCTTAAAGGCCTGCAATGCTTTCATTGCTTTATATGCATTACCTCATTTATTCCTCAAGAGTCTTATAAAGTCATCTTCATTTTGCTAATAAGGAAATTGAGCCAGAGAGAGGTTAAGACACTTACTCAAGGTTATACAGAAGCAGGATTTTAATCTGGCTCGAGAACCTGTTTAACCCTATAATGTTCCTCCTTAAAAATGTCAATAAAGAGGACATACAGGTGGCTAATAGACATATGAAAAGATGTTCAATGTCACTAATCATCAGAGAGATGCAAATTAAAACGACAATGAGATATCACTTCGCACCTGCTGTAATGGTTACCATCAATAAATCAACAAACAAGTACTGGTGAGGATGTGGAGAAAAGGGAATGCTCATTGCACTGTTGATGGGAATGCAGACTGGTGCGGCCACTGTGGAAAACAGTAAGAATTCCTTCAAAAAATAAAAAATGGAAATGCCTTTTGACCCAGATATTCCACTTCTGGGACTATGTCCTAAGAATCCCAAACCAGCAATTCAAAAGAATATATGCACCCCTATGTTTATAGCAGCATTATTTACAATAGCCAATGGCCCATCAGTAGATGAGTGGATAAAAAGCTGTGGTACATGCCCTAACTGGTTTGGCTCAGTGGATAGAGC